ATGGTGGGGAAAAAATGTCCCCCGAAGAAGAAGAGGAGGTGGGGGACCCTGGCCCTTCGAAACCCTGGCCCTTTGCCCAAAAAGAGGAGCCCCATGGTTTTCGTTCAGTGTGGGACCTTTTCCCCCCCCGTTCGTTCAGTGCTGGGGGACCTTTTTCGTCCGTTCAGCTGTGGGGCCCTTTCTTTTTGTTTGGTTCAGAAGACAACGAAAAAAACTTAAAAACCAGGGAACAAAGTTTCCCTTCAACAGAAAACGAAGAACTTGAAGAACCAGAGGAATCAAATTTTTCGTTAAAACAGAAAAACGAAGAATTTTGAAAAAACCACAAGATCAAATTTTTCTTTCAGAAAACAACGAAGAACTTGAAAAAACCAAAAGGGCACAAGCTTTTTTCAACAGAAAAAACGAAGAACTTGAAAAACCCACAAGCATAAAAGCTTCGTTCAGGGGAAAAGAAAATTTTGAAGAAAAAAAGAGGCATAAAAGTTTTCGTTAACGGGAAAAACAAAAGGAAAGAATTTGGAAAAAACCAAAAGGGGGAAAAAGCCTTCGTTCAACAGAAAACCCAAAAAGGGGAACTTAAAGGGGAACCAGAGGCATAAAAGCTTGTTCAGCAGACAACGAAGAATTGAAGAACCAAAAAGGCACCCAAAGCTTCGTTCAGCGGGGAAACGAAGAACTTGAAAAACCAGAGGCTTAAAGCTTCTTTTAAAACGACAACGAAGAAATTGAAAAAACCACAAGCATAAAAGTTTGTTAAAAAGGGAAAACGAAAAACCCCCAAACTCACGAACCTATTTACAGCAGATAAGAACGGAAAAAAGGACACCCAAGGGAAAATACGAATTTTTAAAACTATTTTTTTTATAACGAAAATTTTTCTTTTAAATATATATATTTTTTATATAAAATATATTATAATATTATATATATATATATATATATTTATATATTATATATTTTTATATATTATATATAAAAATTTTATTCTCCCAAAAACTTTCGTAAAAAAAAAAAAATTTTTGCAAAAAACCCGATTTTTTAAATTTAAAAAATTTGTTTCTTTTCCGGTTTTGTATAGTTTTTCCCCCTTTTGGGGTTTAGCGCTTACCCGTAAATATAAAAATAATAAAAAGTGGTTTTTGGGGTGTGTTTTTCTCACAATTGGGGGTTTTCCCAGGGGTCGAGACCCAGCCCCCCGGGCCCCCACCCCCCTTTTTCACTGATCGCTATGGACCCTCCCCTCTTTTGGGTTTCCTGAGTTTTGGTCATCCCCTTTTCTTTTAAAACTATTTTTGGGTTTCCCTCCCCTCCACAAAATTTCACTTGCTGGGGGCTTTTCCCCACTTGTGAAAAACTCTATAAAGGGAAAAAATTTTTTTCCAAAACGTCCCCTGTAAAAGGGCTGAGTCTTAAGTTTCCCCAATTTTGTAAACCCCTTTTTCCCTTTTGCCCCCTTCGGGAACATTATTTCTGTCCACCTTTGTCTTTTCCCCGCGTATCTTGTATTTGTTATTTGTCTCCCCCTAAACCCCTTCTGTCCCCCAGGCCCCGTCAG